ACCCAATTCAGCAAAGCTGCACACAAGGTACTTTTGTATCAAACATCATTTCATACTCTATATATTATCTGACCACATGTTCATTCATTTGATCTTGTAGGGTATTGTGGCATTTACTTTTGATGACCAGGCTGTGAGAAGTATGGAACGGCAGCAAAAGGGAATATCCTCCCATAGCAAAGGGGTGATAAATGAATTTTTAGAGGTATGTTAATTTCATTTCTTAGCTCCCGTGGGCATAGCAGCCTGTTTCACTTCCTCTTTTAGCTCCCTTTGACTCTTCATGGCTTTAGAATAGCTTCTTCGAGTCTCGTTATTTCTCATGTGAGAATTTTGATTTGCAGGGTCTGACAGGTCTATTACAATCGCCTATTAAAGGGGCAGAGAGACATGGCCTTCCAGGAGTCCTCTCAGGTATCAAGTTTATCCATGCTATTTTTCTGGTCTCTATTGCAGCGAAGTTGAACCTCCACGGAAGTGAATTCTGTCTGCTAATTTAGATTATTGTAGCTTCAAGCCTTCAAAACATATTTCTTCTTGCAGGCATAGCTGTTGGAGTGACGGGACTTGTGGCAAGACCAGCAGCCAGTATCCTTGATATCACCGGCAAAACTGCACAAAGCATCAGAAATCGGAGCAAACTCCATAATCGGGGATCTCATCGCTTTAGGGTCCGATTGCCAAGGCATTTAACTAGAGAACTTCCTTTGCGGCCTTACTCTTGGGAAGAAGCAATTGGAGTATCTATTCTTAGAGAGGCTGACGACCATATTATGCTCAAAGACGAAATGTTGGTAATTTGTAAAGCTCTTAGGCATGATGGGAAGTTTGTTGTCCTCACTGAGCGGCTTATATTAATTGTCTCCTGCTCCAGTATAGTAAATTATGGGAAGCCCGAGTTTTAAGGAGTGCCTGCTAACCCAGAGTGGTTGGTAGAAACTGAAATCGGGATAGATAGTGTAATCCATGCTGATAACGACGATGATGAAGTACATATTATGGGAAGTAGCTCTGATGCATTGCTAAGGCAGAATCACATTTCGCACAAAAGAAGCTGGGCAACTAGGGGAAAGAGATGGAACAACAATCCTCGAACTTCGCTTCCGCTTATCCAANCGAACTTCGCTTCCGCTTTTCCAGACCAATTTGGTTTTCGCATCAAATGACCAAGCAGAAGACTTTTTGGCAGTACTTCTATCTACGATTGACAAGGCTAAAGAGCGAGGTCGGAGCTCTGTTCATCTGCTTCATCAAAATAATATCAGGAAAATATAGAACGATGTAAAGGATCCAAGTATTTTGCCATATTTACATTGTACATTATGTACATAATCTGCTTTGTCCATTTTCTGTATATTTTTTGTTCATTCCTTAAAGGCACACCCGTTAACCAGATTTTTCAAACTCTATTGTCTTTTTGATACAGAATTCTTTCATTTCTATATTTTGAGATTTCAAACCCAACACCCGCAAGTAACAAAACAACCACGATAATTCAATTTATTAGATATTTTTCGAATCTGTTATTTGTCTGTTAGTTTATGTTTACCTCAAAAATGGTAATTAGATTTGATTTTGTGGTTCTAAAAATACGTGATTTGTTTTTATGCTAATTGTTAATCGATAGATGCTTGATATGAGATTTGGAAATAAGATAAGAACTTGAAAATAATATGTTCAAGCAAACTGAGCAGCTAAGAATCGAGGCCTCGAGCCTGGCTATACGGGGCCTCGAGGTCGAGCTCGGTACTGAGCTGTGGATAGCCGATGAAGGAGTAACAATTTTGAGAGCTTTGATGAAGGCTCTTTATGACCAATAATGAGCAATAAATGAAGAACACTAAATAGAACGCAATAAATGTAAGCAATAAATAGTGAAATCAAGAGAATATGTTTAAGTAGAGAGCAAAGAGAACGTTCTTGTATTGAATGTTGTGAGTGATATATGTTCTCTTACAAAAATGACAAAGGTCCCCTTTATATATTAGGGGGAATCCCAACATAGTACAAGTGCATTTATTACAAAGATATATGACTGGTACAACCATTTAATGCCACGGTACGGGCCTGAACTAGCCTAATAGATTTGGCCAGCTTTAGTCATGTGCTTTGGGAATCTTGCACTCGTTCATCATAGCCGTCGATTTACTCTGCCCCGAGTTTGAGCATATAGGATCCTCGGGGTCGAGCCCCGAGCTAAACTTCGAGCATTCTAGGAGCGGTATTTACGATGTGCCTCAACGGTCACAAAATCGGACCTTCTAATTTTTGCCGTATACAGATAGTCCATGCGTTTCTTAGATTAAAATGATAAGAAACAATTTTGACACTGATCTCCTCGAGCCTCTTGTGATGACATCATGCTTATGATGTAACCTTTTGTGATAACTGAGACGTCCTGTCGATACACCTTTCCAGAAATATTCAATGTAGCGCCGGTTTACTTCCTCAGAGCGATAATATCGCCGCCGATCCGTCTCCCAGAAAGCATTGATTGCACCTGTTGATACATCTCCCAAAGGCATTGATTACGCCGTCGGTTATGCTGCCACCTTCCTATAAATGGAAGCTTTCTTGAATCAAACTTCATTCGGTCATTCTTCAACAGCCTTCAACTCCTTTCTTTTCTTCATCCTTATCCAACTCTATTCCTGATGTTTAAAGCATGTGGCTGAAAGGTCACACGACAGCGCCTTCACCAGTTATGTTATATGGCTCTTTATCAGAGCTTTCCCCTACTGAGTGGGATCGCACTGGTTTTTTATTGTTGGCCCGAAATAATAAGAGAAGAATCTCAAATTATCTTCGTATCAGAGGATATGTGGACCGTAAACTGCTGCTCATCTCTCTTAACTTCCACCTGGTGTGGCGCTTCACTCCTTTTGCTTTCCATGGAGTGAGGTAGTGCCATCTACTAACTTTTGCATCTCACACCGGTGCAATGTCTCAAGAAGTGACTCCCCAATAGTAGTGCTGGCGAGACCCATACTCGCCAAAATTTTTGCCCAGCCACTTCTTCATCTTTTTTTGCTTCTTCTTCATCTTTTTTCTGCTTCTTCTTCATTGTATTCTACTTCTTCTTCATCGTTTTCTGATTATTCTTCATCGTTTTCTGCTTCTTCTAGATCCTTGAAGACGCCTTTTGGAAGACCGAGATGAGGCCTTCGAGGAAATGGTTCTCGAAGATATTGCCCCCGAGGGTGTACCCCCGAGAGTAGATTAGACTTTTAGCTGTTATATTTTTATTTTTTTTGCTTCTTTGTTTCTGTGTAAGGACCCTCTGTGGGCTTTTGTAATCATCGTTTATAATTACAAAAATGCTTCTTCAATTTTTCTCCGATTTGTACTGGATCTCCCTTTATTTACGTTTGTGAAGAATCTGAGCACATGACTCCACCGATCGGTCCGAATACCGGGCCCGGGCATAGGTATTCCCTCGGTTCCTGATTGGTTAATATGATATTCCCTGGAACCTTTTACCGTTCCTCGGACTGAGCCTAGATTGAATTGATACAAACTTAGGCCGCCAGGACCCCTGACTTCGAATTGAGTGAGAATAGGGCTTCAATTTTTAGAACGAAATTTAACCTTTTAGGCCCTGTCGATAGTCTTCGAGGGAGAACTGGCTCAAAATGCCTGAGAATAAAGACCCCGAGTGAGAGTTAGCTCGAGCTCGGGCTGCCTAAAGAACTTGATTTGAACTTAGAGTGAAGATAGCCCTAAGGCGTTATAGATAGATCTCAGATGAGGATACGCTTGGACTCGGATGGCCCCTGGACTAAAGTAATCAAGAGAGCGTTTAACTTGATCTGAAGGCGAAAACATATCTAAGGCTTTCTTAGTAATTCTTGAGTGAGAACTAGCTCAGGCTTAAGTGGCTCGAGGGCCAAAGAATCGGGTGGATGACTACACTTGTAATAGCAGAAATCCTCGAGATAGGGTACCACCTCGAGGTTAAGTTTATACGACTAGCTCCTTAGAGCTCATTTTTCGTTTTGACAGTGATCCTCGAGATCGGGCACCATCTCGAGGCTTAGAATGATATTGATGGCTCCTTAGAGCCTATTTTTATTTTGCCAAGGATCCTCGAGATCGGGCACCATCTCGAGGTTTGGAGTGATATTGATGGCTCCTTAGAGCCTATTCTCATGGCAGTAGATATCCTCGAGATCGAGTACCATCTCGAAGCCAAGTTGATGCGGGGGTTATTGATCCCTCGAACGTTGTACGTCAGTGATAATCGTATGACATGTTCATAAAATGATCGAGGTGACCTTGTTGGTGCATCTCCCCGAAAGTGATAATGGCCTAATCGGAATTAATTGGCCTTTTAGGGTAGGCGGACAGTCGCCGCTTGCTCTGTATATGAGTTTATTTCCTTTTTTTCTGAGAATTCCGCTATTTTGAGCCACTACCCATTTTCATAGAGTTCTTCTTCCTTGCGCCAACTTTTCCGTCATTTTAATTCAAAGTTTTCGCCTGAGTTTTCATTTTCCTTCTCTTGTTTTATTATAGCCATGGCTTCCATGCCTAAATCCGTTTGCCAAGAAGAGGAGGGTTCCGCTTTTTCTTCCCGCTCGATCGGTGGTACACCACCAACATCTGGTGAGCCAATCTCAAGACGCTTTGTCTCGAGGAGGGACCTTTCGCTAGAGAGGCCTCCCAATGTCGAGGGCCATTGGGATCATGCATCAAGGTTTACTTCATCAATAGGAGAGGAACGCCTCGAGGCAGTGAGGAGAGACTGCGGATGGGGAGTGATAAGTAGGATTTTAACATGTTTTATACCCATACTTGCCTGCGCTTTGAGTGTAATTTGCTACAAAATAGTCCCAAAATGCTTACAGATTGCGTTTGATTGCAGGTTTGAGCTATAAAGTGACAAATCGTCAAAGATCGTCTCAAATCGGAGTGAAACTTGCTCAAGTGTCAAAGATCATTAAAGTAATGACATTCAGAACTTGGTGCGTACCGCACCATCATGTCATGCGGCCGCACCATAGGAGTTCAGAGACTGTGAAACTACAAGTCAAACTCATGCGACCGCGTCCCACTTCATGCGGCCCGCGTCTCACTCATACGGCCGCACAATCTTACTATGCGGTCGCATCCAAGAAGTTCAGAGAGTGTCATATTCTAGAAGAAAACCACGCGGCCGTGTCCCACTTCATGTGGCCCGCGTCCCTCTCCATGCGGCCGCACTCTATGGTCACGCGGTCCGCGTCAGTGAAGTTCAGAGAAGCTGCCAAAACCATTCATGCGACTGCACAACAACTTTGTGCGGTCCGCGCTAGTCTTCATGCGACCACATTCCAACTTTGTGCGGTCTGCATCACCATCTTCAGAGAGCAAGATTCAGAGGTCAAGCAACCCAGTGCGGCCGCATGCCAACTTTGTGCGGTCCGCACTAACCCCGCAGGGGCATTTTTGTCCAGTTTTTCTAGCCCACTATAATAGAACATTTTACCATTTTAGGTTAAGTTTGGTACATCTGATAGCTGCTGCACTCGTGAGACTTATGTTTTGGCCTATTTTGGGCATTTATAGCTGGGTTTCATCATAGATTATTGTAGTTTAACATTAGTAATTAATTAATATGGTTGTTTCATCTTTTATTTCTTTAGCTTCTTCTTTAATTATGTCTAGCTAAACCCATTAGCTAGGGTTGTGGCTCAACCCTAGTGTGGGTAATTAATGGGTGTTGCTTCTTAATGATAGATTGATATTGGGTGTTTGTTATTTGGGTTAATTTTATGGTTTAATTAAGGATTG